TCTCCCACCCACTCCTCCTTAGAGAGTCCAGACCTGCTCCTCTTGAAATCAGATGGTATTTTAGATAAGTCGGTTTTTTTCCCCTTACACTTGTAGCTGCTGAATTTGTCTCTCCCAACACACTGGAGATGATCTAGAGGATAAATGGGTAGCTGAGGGCCTTCAGGGCTGAAGTTTGGTAGAGGGAGATCCAACTGGGGCAGGAACTGAAAGGGCAGCTACCTTGGAGGCAGTCAGCAATAGGATAAGGAGGAGAGGGAAAGAAGACATTCAGTCGTGGCAGGTTTTAGTAGCAGGTCAGAGTTCTGTGCTGCTCTGTGTCTGTGAAATTATATAATCATTCTAAATAAGACAGAAGAAGCCATTAATAAGTAAACAGTGATGAGGAAGATCAGAGAGAGAATGAAATGGCTGGTGGTGTTCATGTCAGAGAACTGAAATATTTGTGGAGGATGGATGGTTTGCAGAAAATCGAGCATTCCCTTTAGATCTGCAGCTGTGGTGGGACAGTTCTCTACTGCTGCCAGGTTCAGCTTGCAGAGCAGGCAGCAGTGGAGGGACAGCGGGTGAGGTTGCATTACCCTTTCTGTGCCAGCATCTGCTTTGTCAATACAAGCTTAAGTTGGGCAGAGCTTTCCTCATTGTAACAAATACAGACCTAGTATCCCTCTCCCTGTGTGACCATTTTCTAGAAATGGTTTCTACCTCTCCTGGGGTTGAAGGATGCTCTCCAGGTAACGTATCCATGATACTTTGGCTTCTGCTTGAATCCACTGGGTGCTGGCGGGGAAGGGGGGTCTCCATCAGCCCACAGCCTGCCAGAGCTGCTCGACCTCTCACAAATGCATGTCTCTTTTTTCCTTTTTTTTTTTTTGACATGTACAGTGGTTTCTCCACAGCTGTGTCTCCCCCCAGATGAACTGTGTCTGCCTGCCAGCTGTGCAGTGGAGTAGCAGGGCAGTGAGGACTTGGCTGTTTGATAGTACAACTGCCTACAGACCTCAGGAGAAATTATTAGGGCAAGGGCATGAATGTCTTTTTTGTGAGGAAGGAGGTATAAAGGTTGTGACATGTGAGAGGGCTGCCCATGGGGTGGGCAGAGTCTGAGGGAGGGAAGAGGAGCCGGAGATGGAGGGTGGTGGTGGTGGCCAGGCTCTGTGGCTGGAGGGAGACATTGAGTGCATCATGCAAAGTGCAGGCGAGCCTCTCCCATGCGATGGGCAGTGTCTCTGTGAATCGCCGTCAACGCAGATGAAATTTCACACCACACAAATTCATGAATTTAAAAGGGGAGGGAGGTGGTTAGAGAAGCAGGAGAGGAGGAGGGGGAGGGAGAAGACTCAGCCTGGTCTGGCACCAGCGCCTCCTGCTAACGCCACAGGGAAGGTGGCATCCTTCCCCAGCATTCTCTCTGGCCCCTGCGCTCCCTGCTCCCTTTCACTTTGGTCACGTCTTCTGGAGGCAGCATGCTCTGTTTAGAGCTGTTTATAAGGTGCTGGTTTGTTCTCTGTCTCTTCATCTCCTTTCTCAGAGTGAGTATCCACTCCACTGCTTTCTGTTTTTTAACCTCTCGTTTTTCTCCAGCTCTCCTTCCCCAGGCTGCTTTACCCCTTGCTTCACCTGGTCCCTCTCCTCTATTCCCTTACCCTGATGGCCTCCTGTCCTGCACTACCTGCTCTCCTGTCTCTCACCTCCACTCCTGCCTCCGATCCTCTCCTCATTTTTTCCACCTTTTACTTTCCTCCCACCTTTATTACCTCTTAACTCCAGGAGTGTCAACCCCTACCATCTGTCTCTTCTTTCAGTCCTCCCTGTGCTGTCTTCTGTGTACCAAGCAAGCACATCTCTTCACACAACAGCTCAGAGGGTACCAAGGTAATACGTTTATACCCATCACAGCATGAGGCAGAGTTTGGTCCTGTGGCCTTCTCGACCAGAGATGACATGTGCTGTGACCCTACAAGGGCACTGGGGTGCCTGATTTTGCTCCCATTCCCTTTCCCTTTGGCTGCGAGAGGTGAATGGAGCTTCTCATCCCTTTATGAGTCCCACTGGCCCATAGTACAGAGCCACCAGAGGAGCTACAGAAATCTCCTGCTGGCCTCTCTAGGAGCAAGTGAATGTTGAGTCAGACACAGAGGCCACAGGTGGTCATTTCACCAGCAGCGGCAGGTGCTGTGTAAAACAATGACAGTGTTGTGATGCTGTGGGTCACCCATGGACTTCAAGTAGGGTATGGCAAATGGAAGCTGGTGTCCAGGATGCTTGTTGAGATCTGGAGTCTAAAGAATTAAACACCCCCTTCCTCTCTGGGATACCACTTGCTTTACCCCAAGTAGGGCTGGTTTATCAGGGTTAGGAAACCTAGAGGCAGGACCTGAGCTAAACCTGGTGCCCTAGGCCAGCTGCCCCTTGCATCTTGTCATGCTGCAGGAGCCCCACATCCAGGTGGTCCTGTGGTGCTGGTGTCCCTGGGCTTGCCAGGCACACCTGACCGTGGGTACAGCGCCGCAGCTGAAATGCTGCAGACAAGCAGGTGCCTAGAGCCCAGGACAGCCTTGTGCTACCTCTGCTCTGAAAACAGAACAAAACCTTCACCCTGCCTGGTCCAATTCTTGCCTGCATAAGCAGTGTTACATGGGCATATCACCAGGAGTTTGGGACCTGAAGCAAACTGGGATATCTCTGGAGGATGCTGAACTATACCCTTTAATCGGAAGACAAGAGAAATTATCTGGCTTTTGAGGACAGATGCCATCTTAATCTTGTTTTTCTCCTTTCTGTCCTACCTCTCCTGAGGTTGTCTTCTTTTTGAATCAACAGGGCTAAATTCTGCCCTGATGTAAATCTCTGCTGATATAAATTGGTATGATCTTGCAGCAATCATTGGAGTGGCTATGGATTTATGCTAGCTGTTAGTGTGAGTAGGATTTGGCGCATGGAGTGTGGTAGCCATAGCTCACTGTGTCGTGCTCTGCATTTCCAACCAGCACTGCAGGTGATAAGCAAATGCTGTTGAGAGGTGAGAGAGTCCCTCTCGAACCAGAAGAGGCTTCCCCTGGATGTCCTTTGTGTGGCCAAGTTAGCCAGCTGGGCTGCAATTTTGGGATGGACACTGTAAAAAGGTCTTAGCCCACAGGGTCCCACAAATGGGGTGGAAAATTTTAATTTAATACATTTTTGCATCTCACACTTTAGGGAAAACAGGATAATGCATTTGTAACTGCTATTTCCCACGGGTGCAGTATAATATATACATTATAGGCCGTGTGCGGCACAGGGGGATGAGTCATACGCGTTTGTGACTCTGTGGTCTCAGTGCCTGGCCAGGATGGACTCTGCACCTGCCACTTTGGGCTCTCCTGGCAAGGTGCAGCTCACCCCAGGTGTGCTTCAGATCTGCTCCTCCACCGTGCTCTCCTGTGCCCAGCTACCCTGGTCCAGGAGGATTAGGGTGGGAGGGACATTGCGTTTCCAGCAGCCCTCTTGGACGTGCTGAACTGGGAGGCTGTAACAGCAATACATGCAATCCCAAAGCCATGGTGATAATTTTTAAGTGGCTCCTGTCCTGTTATCCTTCTCCCCCTCTGAGCTTTCTCCTCTACCTCAACCGCATTACAGATAAAAGGGTTAAGAGCTCACTTGGGCCCCCTGCTCAGAGAGAGGGCAGTTGCAATGTTGTATCTAGACCCAGTGAGGATATATATAAATTCCCTCCGTCTCTTCGGATCTATTTATAGCACGGCAGGCAGTGGCAAAGGCTCTCCTCAAGGCTTCATCTCCTACAAACAGTCTTCACAGACAGCAGAGAGATAAATTTAGCACACGAGATTTCTTAAAGAGCCAGCAGCTCTGCGGGGCTGCTTGCCTGCTGTGCTACAGCCCCCACCCCAATTCCCGCACTGGGGCAGCTTCTCCTGGGGGTGCTTGCCCCCCTGCCTTCCCCCCTTTCTATCCAGCTCTACCCATTCTCTCCCCCTTTCTGGTCTCTTTTTCTATCATTGATGGGGTTTTTTTTCCTTCTTTTTTGCTGGTTCACCATCTCATCCTCTCTGCTTTCTTGTTTTTCTTTTTTTCTTCTCTTTTCTCTCTCCCAGGCCACAGGGCTCAGAAGATAACGCTTTCTCGTTAACAGTTCACTGGTTATGCCTACATAGTAAAAAAAGTGTAGCTTGATTAATGCCTTCCAGATGGTTAATTGAAAAAAAAAGGGGGGGGGAGGAGGGGAATGCACCAATCTCTCCCCCCTTTTCAGCATTCTGCACACATACATTGCACAGGAAGAAAACTGCATTAAAGGGTGAGGGAAGCAACATATTTGAGAAATAGGGGAGGCCTGTTAGCTCCAGGGCAGCATTGCCAGGCTGGTGATTTAGATGTTGATTTGCTCAGTCCCTGCTTCATGTTTTCTTCCCTCACCTATCCCACCCCAAAATTCCCTATCCCGGAGAGCGATGCTCCTTCATGTACAACATGTAACACACACAAGCCCTCCTCACACCCTCATGTGAACCCCACCACAGGCACTGTGCTGCTCTGCCCCCACCTCGTGCTCTGATACCCCAAAACAACACCAACCCTCAGTCTCTCCCCATATTCATTTTTCGGGGGGATGCACACACACCCCTGTGTGTCTTTCATGAATTGTGATCGTGCGATTGGTTGCACAAGAGTGACATTTTACCAGAGCCATGAGCCACACGAGTGGAAGGATCCTGTCAAGTGGGGTCTGAGCTTTTGGACTTGGTAGTGCCCGAAGTGGGTGCGAAGGAGGGGGCATGGGCGAGAGGGGGGATGCAAGTAGGGTCATTGGGGCAACTTGGGAGGAAAGGAGGGTGATAATGTGGTCTGCTATTCTTCTCCATAAGTCATTGCTGGGCAACTTAATCAATGCATCTCCTGTCTTACGAGCACATGTAGGCTGTTTCCCTCTCCCTGCCTCTCCTCTTCCCCCCCTGCCCGTAGCTCTACCTACTCCCCGTTTCTTTGTCTTTCTCAAGGGAGAGACAGAGGAGGAACACAAATCCCTCCCCACCATTAACAGAGATACTGCTTTGCTGACGTGAGTCATGAAGGGTTTAAGCCATGCAGTTGAGGGTGAGCTGCATCCAGCCTCCCGCCCCACACACCTCCCACCACGGATCTCCCTGGTTTCCAGGGAAACAGCGGCCCCAAATGCTGCCTGACTTTCATGTCTGCCTTTCATTTCTCCTTTTTTTTTTTTTTTTTTTGTAAGAAAAAACACACAACTGATGTTTTTTCTCCCTTCCCCTTTCAGGATAACCACCACGGCCGCTTGCATGATGGACCTGCGGAGGTACCCCCTGGACCAGCAGAACTGCACGCTGGAGATCGAGAGCTGTGCGTATGCCTCGCGCCTGCCCTCCGCCCCACAGTGCCACCCAATGTCACCCAGCCTAGCCACAGCGGTATCCCCCGCTCATGGGATACCTCCCAGAGGTGTTACAGGCCATCCCTCCTGGAGGATGTCCCCTGGGGTGGGACCAGGCTCCCTCATCCAAACTCTATCCTGAGGGGACCTCGTGGGTGAAATGCCCATGAAAATGGAGCTCTAGCAGCAGGCTGGTCATTAAAATCACTCTCACCTTCAGGAGGGTTGTGGAAGCCTCCCTTAGCCCTAAGAAAGCCTTGGGAGCCTGCCCTCGCTCGTGGCTGGCCCCACTCGGTATGGGAGGTGGGACTCAAGCCCTCACACAATTCCTCCGCACCTGAATCTTCCCTTGACTCCTATGGAAAGCCTCTCCTGACTGTGTTGGCGTAGGAGGTCGTGTTCTCCCTCATAAAAATGCACTACAGTATCCCCACAGGGGTGGTCCAGAGCAGCAGCTCTCACAGTAATGATGATGCAGCTTCAGTGGTGATTATCAGAGAATTACTTTTTTCATAAAAGAGATCCCACAGCATCCATAGTTGGAAGGCACTGTGCTGCCTTACCAGCCCTGCCTGCGCCTGGGAGCCCCCTTCCCACTCGCCACTTGGGTTGCTGGGGATGTGCAGCCGTTGCGGTGCTTGGCGTGGCAGGTAATGGGATGTAGATTAGGTCCTGCTGGAGGCACTAGTGACATGTCATTTCTGGCACTCCTTAGCATTTTGAGAATAGTTTACAATACAACCAAGAAAACAGAAGGCAGAGAATTACCCACAGTTCCCCATGTTGTGATTTTGTTCTTAATGGGACATGTCAAGCCAATTTGTTAGTTGAAGCTACGTTTCCTTACAATGTTTCTGAGATTCACACAGAGATTAAGAGATTTAATTGTTTCCTTCCTCAGAGCTTTTGTCTTTTACACACTTGCACATTCAAAATCCACAGGGCTCAATTTTGTTTGCTTCCAAGTCCACACAACGCTTGAATAACTGTCTTTTTCTGGATGGCTTAAAAAATAAAGTATGTTAAAAAAAACCCAAAACCCAAACCACCAAAATAGCCCTTTTGGGGTGCTGGGTTTGTAAAGCAGCAGCTGCAGGCAGATAGGGTCTCCTTCCCCACAGCAGCTTGGGGCACTTACCTGCAGGAGATAAGCCAGTGGTGGCACTGCCTCTTGATCCTATTCTTTCATCCGAAAAATAACCCTCGCTGCTTATACCCCTGCCTAGCTGTGTGCCAGGATTCAGCAAAAACCTGATGAGGCAGGCAGCAAACAGGCTGTAAATCTGACGTTTTAAGATGTTTTAGCAATACTTCATGATATTTCAAGTTGAAATGATTTGTCTTTCTGAAAGTTCTCTTACTTTTTAAAAGTGAAAGGGAAATTTGGTTTTCTTCTTAAAGCTAGAAATCAAAGTGAAGTGTTTATTTTTAGACTGAACAAGCTTTCCCTTTAGAATCACTTTTTAAAAGGCTTCCTGAAAAACATGTTTGATTTCATATTGCATAATAAAAAAAATTACAAAAATTGGTACCCAATACCAGTAGGTCATATAATAATGGAATAGAGCTAGTTAACTGTGAGATCTCCTAAAATTAGTTACTGTAATTTGACATTTTCATTGCTGATCAGGAAGTAAATTTGAAGTCACGGCTGTTAAATTTGTGGATGATGAAGACAGCAATCTGTGGCTTGCTCGCTGCATATTTGAATATCTCCCAGTTCGAATACATCCAGAAAGCATTTGAATACAGCTGAATGCAGAGGTCTGTGCCTGGGTTCAGGAGCATGGTCCAGGCTGCCGGACTGAGGGACTCGTACCCACATGGGTGTCGACCAGGGCAAATGAAGAAGCCTGGACACTGCTGCGGGAGGTTCTGTAGCAGGGCTCTGACAAAAAGGGCTGGAGTGAGCCTTGGTTATATAAAGTAGGGGAGCCATAGTCAGAGCAGGGAATCGATTGGCCTCTGAATATGTTGCTGGTGAGATGGGGAAAGGGACTCTGTCTATATTTGGTTTTCAAAATTTAGAAAGGAAATTGAGAAATAAGAAGGCGTTGAGAAAAGTGGTCTAAAAAGTGGTTCAAGGGCTAGAACAGATGTTTTGCAATGAGATACCTCAGTAGCTCAGTCTGATTTGTTTACTGCAAAGGAGGTGGTGAGGTGACTTGTTTACAGGCTGGGTGCACCTCTGCAAAGGGGGAGCACTGGGTGGAAAGGGCTTGGTAACCTCCTAGAAGAATTCAGAATAACCAACAGAGTCTCAAAGTCTGAGCCAGATGAATTTGAATGTAAAATTGCACACAATGTTTTTAGCTGTGAGAGTGTTTCAGCCACTGGAATCAACTGCTGGGAGGAGTGGGGGACTTGGCTGTTTCTTACTGTTTTCCACACTTGGTCTTAGTGCTCTGGGAGAGATGCTGCAGCCAGATGCAAATACCAGTTCCTGTGTGCAAAGCTGGGGTACTCGAGGCAGTGCAACAGCCTGTACACCCCAGTGTCTGCAGCAGATAAGATGATAACCTAAGGGTCCTGAATCTCTGTGGGCTCGTGGTTGTGGGTGCTTTACCACTTACTGCCATGGGAGCAGGAGCATGCCACCAGGGCGGGAGAAGGTGGAGCCCTGGCTCAGCTGATTTCCATCAGAAGCAGATCTGGCATGGCATTTGGAATATTGTTATTATTTTTTAGCACCCATGAATAAGTAATGACTGAGAGCGCAGGATGTAAGCTTGGAGACTACACAGTCATCGATTCAGTTTGGGAAGAGACGTCAGGTTCTCTCTAGTCCAGCCCCCAGCTCAGAGCAGGGTCAGCTATGAGATCAGACCAGGTCCCTCAGCTCTTTGTCCACTTGGGAGCTGCAGGATGACACCATCCTCAAAGGTTCAGCTCTTATCTGGGGTAGCCCTCAATGCCTAAGGCTCGGTGGTAGAAGAATTTCTCCTACATGGTACATTCAATGGCTCTTCATTCCCCCAGTTCCACTGATACACTGGTGCTGGTTTTGGTGGCAGCTCTCCCTGGTGGATGTTAGACTTGCCAGGTATTGGTAGCCAACTACCTCTCTGCTGCAAGGACTTGTGGATAAGGCAAGCTGCCATGCTGTAGTGCAGGTTGTGAATAAAAGCTGTCTGTGGGCATAGGTGAAGTTCATGCTCTAAAGGAAGCCTTGCACCATGCTGTACCAAAGCCTGTACATCCCTTACTGCTTCTTTGCTCCCATGCAGCTCTGAACTTTGCTTAGAATAAGAGGCCACGTGTTGTGCAGCAATAGCCACAGTGCTTCAAAACCCAGCTTGCTACAAACAGCATTAATTTTCAAGTGCAGATGAATCCTTGCCCACAAGGGCAACAGGCAGGGCTGTGAACATCGCATTGATGGGAGGCGAGCTGCATAGCTGCATGATTTTGTCCCCTGGGCCTCATTCCTCATGTGTCCAGAGCATCTGGGGAGCCTTTCTCCTGGGACTGTGGCTTTGAGCTCCTCAGCACTTCCAGCCCATGTAGCCCTGTCTGGCATGTATAGTTTGGGGTTAAAGTAAGAGGCTGTACCCTTGGCTGAGTTAACAAATCCATTACCCTGAAATGTAATGGATGAGTGTTTGTTACCAGCCTGACTCCCCTTCCTCTTTTCTCCCATTACTGCTCTTTTCAGCCAGCACTTGGTAGAAGCAGCTCCTGATCTCAGAGACTCTGTCCACTTCCCAGCTCCAAATTTTGCCTGAGAGTACTTAGAAGACGGAGATGCTCTGATGCTCAAAATTCTTTTGAACTGCTGTTGTAAATCTTTTTCTCTCTGGGCATTTTTTTAATACTTAGATGCTCTGTTTACTTAATCCCTACCAGAATGTATTGTGTGGTCTCCCCCTTCTGGTAAAAGGAGGCAGTATTGAAAAAGCAAAATGCCACATTTGGTGCATTTCAGGAAGGCTTCTGATGCACAAGTCCCTGTCATGTCAGCTATGGAGAGGATGTAGTGCAAGTCAAGGCTTGATGGGTCACTTCTTACCTTTTTCCCCTGAATTCTAGCCACAAGTGGGAGTTCTGACAATATTTTCCTCTTCTCCTGGGGGCTGTACTGCCAAGCTCAGGTGAAGAAGAAAAGTACGTCAGTAGGGAGGGACTATACTTGCTATCTGATGATGTGGGCTTTCCTTTGGATCCTCTTCCAGATCACCTTGGTGGAAATGGGTGTGTCATCTGCTCCAGCTTGTCAGCTTAGTTCTCTCCCTGTGCTTCTTCATCTCTGCAGATGGTTACACGGTTGATGACATTGTCTTCTTCTGGCAAGGAAATGACTCTGCTGTCACGGGGATGGAGGTGCTAGAACTGCCCCAGTTCACCATTATCGAGCAGAGGCTGGTCAGCAGGGAAGTGGTCTTCACCACTGGTGAGTCTCTGCTGAAGGGATGCAATGGAATGTGCAAACCTCCTGATGATCAATGTCAATGTAGTTGTTCCTCTGATTCACATGCTGAGGCACTAACTTAGAATCTAGGCTTCAACTTAGGGTCCTGTTGTTTTGGAAAAGAGGCATCTTCTGTGCCCACCAGGTTTGCTTTTTTTGGGGGGCTGCTTCTCTTCAGAGGCTTGTGGGATAATTTTTTTTTTCTGCAGTTGTTTTCATTTCTTAGCCAAAACACCAACTGAACACAAAACAGAACCTCTTTAGAAGGTTCTCAGCCTTTACCTTATTTTTAGGTGGTTTGCAACTGGCTCTCAAAGCTAATGTAGGTGCAACAATAAGCAGAAGAATATATCAGTTGAAAAGCAAGTGATGCAAACCCATCTGTACACGGCAATAAAAAGATCTGGAGAGAATACCTTGGACGATTCAGATACTGCCAGCTGGAAAGTTGGAGGGATTTGGAGTTTCGTTGCTGTCTTCACTCTGATCTGGCATGAAGTTCCACTGCCAAAACAGCATGCCACACACCTGTTAAATAGGACAATTTTTGAAGCGTCATGAAATCATAGCCTGATTCTATCAGTAGTGGTGGCAGATGCTGATGTTGTTACATTAGTGCCTTGGGGGCTTGCTGGGAGCAGGGTCCCATTGCAGTGGTGATCTAGAGACCCACAAGAGGCAGTATTCCTCCAAAAGAAGTTTTCAGCCTAAATAGGTAAGACCTTCAAAGAAAAGACTGGTGAAATACTGTGTTCAAGCTACGCAAATGGCACGTAATGGTGAGAGAACATAACCTCCTTTTTCCAAATCTACCTCCTTGGTCATTAAAGACTGTTGTTCTCCTGTTACTTTAGCTGCCAACCCATGATTACACCTATATTTCAGGCTGCTGTGTTGCCTGAGGGACAGAGGTGGAAAGGAGGAATGACTTGGACTTTGTTTCACAGCAATGAGAGAGGCCCTGCTTTGTCCCTGTCAAAATGACCCTGCTCCAGTGGAAGTACTCATTATAGTTACTGTCCCCATTAGGTTTGCTAAAAGATTATGAGGAAGTTGCAGTAACTTGTGGAAAAAGAAACAACTCAGATTAACCAACGGTACTGTATTTGCATATGAATTTGCCCAGTCTGACCATAATCCATTTTTAGAACAGCATGGGAAAAATACGATTCAGATCTCCATTGCTGTTTGGAGGAAAAGCTAGCCCACAAAAAGTTGGAAAATCGTCTCACTGCATCCAGATATAGGATTAAAGTCTCCTGTGTAAGCCTGTATGAAATTGGCACGTACCATAATAGCAATTTCAGCAGTGAACAGACATTCTCCCATTATGTCTGATATAATAACATAACTTATGTAGAGTTTCCTTTCTTCTTAATATTCTGAGCCAACTGAGCAGACTCTGAAGAGCACCCTTCCAAAAACTGATGAGTCTGCAAAACCAAATGAAGAAAAAAAGATATTTCTCATTATCCCTGCCTCTTGAGAACATTTTCCAAATAAAATTTCAATTCCTAATCTAAGCTCTTACCATAAGTACAGCCTTGCCTTCCTCTCAAACAACATATCCCCTTAATATTTCATTGACAGGTTCATATCTGCGCTTATCCTTGAGTTTCCGGATTAAAAGGAACATTGGTTACTTCATCCTGCAGACTTACATGCCATCTATTCTCATCACCATCCTGTCCTGGGTCTCTTTCTGGATCAATTATGATGCTTCTGCTGCACGAGTGGCACTGGGTATGTACCTTTTCATTATATGTTGAAGAAGGTGTTTTTTTGAGGGAGATTGGCCAAGACAGCTGTGAGAAAGAAAATACCCTTTTCTTTATGAGGTAGCTGCAAAGCAAGCCACATAGGTCTCTCTTGTCATCCCAAATGAAGGACATTTTTTCTGAGAACAAATTTCAAATTTTCAGCCAGAGGATCTACTTTTTTATTCAGGAGTACGTCCCAAGCTTAAGTCTGCATTATTTGAATCAGTAAAAGTTCTACCATAAATTTCTGTGGGTGCAAGTTTAAACTCTATAACAAAGGCATAAATGGTCACAGCTTCTGAGACATGTGAGACCCCGACATGCCATGAGCCCACCAGTTCCTTCACTCTGAGCTGTACTTGTTTACTCAAGAAGAGAAGTCTGGGCACCTCTTGGTCAACAGGTATGCCAGGATTGGTTAGTTGGTTAATAAATGCTGAGGATGGGTGGTCAAAGAGTAGTGAGAATGGTGAGTGAATGGCTAAAAGATGAAAGAAGAATGGCAGTGGCATTACACATTTTTCATGATAGTTTAGGCCCCATACAGACAATTCTTGTAGCTGAAGACCTTCATAACCAAGGCAAATGTGGGACAGCAGTTAAAATCCAAGTTCTTCTTAAGCACATGCTCCCCTAAATAGGAATGTTTTCCTATATGAGGAAAAAAATGAGGTCTTTTAAGCAACAGAAGGGAAGTGGGGGTGGATTGTAGATGAGGATTTTGAAGAAGGAACAGGAGAAAGGGGGGATGGCTGGCATATGAGAATGGAGCTGTGCAACATGATAAAAAGTTCAGAGGAAATAAGAGAGCCAAGGAGGGAGAAGGATTTAATCTGTGAGTGGGAAAAGGCTCAGAGGCAGTGGAGCACAGGTAGAGGCTGGGTCTTACAGAAAAGGCTAGTGTCTTAAATTAGCCCTAGGAGAAGACAGAGTCTGAGAAGACTCAGAGGAAGGATGGTTTGTACAAATTTATAAAACAGATTATTTGGTTGTGCTTGCTTGGAGAGGCTGGAGCAGGGAGACAGGGAGAGAACAAGAAGAACATGGTAAATTAAAAAGGTAAGTTGCATTGACAAGAGTATAATCAGTGAGAGAAGAAAAAGAGACCATGGCAGACACTGCTGGCACAGTGAAACTACAAGCAGAAGGGTGGACATGAGATGTGCAGCTGTTAAATTTCTGCTAACATCTGGATTCAAAGGAGAAGGCATAAGAAAAACATTGTAGATCAGAACTGGAACAGCTCTCCCTAAACTATTCCTGACAGCTAGAATTCCTCTAACCTGTCTTTAAAAATCTCCAAAGAAGGAGACTCCACAGCCTCCTCTGGGCACTTTATCTTCAGATTTACCTGCTTGTACTTTTTTGACAGAAAGCTCTTCTTTGCCTCTGTCCTAAGTCTCCATTGCAATTTGTCCAGTTCTTAATGGAATCATGGAGAACATTCTGTTCCCCCTTTCTTTGCCCCAGATTTCTGGATATTTAGACTACTGTCTAAATATAGACAATATCATATATTGTATGTATATAAATACATCTCACTTCTGTTTACTCTTCTGTAAACCGAAGACAGTTCTTTAAATCTTTTATCAGAAATGACACTAAAGACATGATGAGAGTGAAGGAGAAACAGGACAAGTAGAGGTCCAGGATGCACAGAAAGGTTTGAGAGCCATCACTGTAGAGGTAGGGCTGAAACCAGAAGAGCAGATTAAGGTCGTGGAGACTAAGAGATCTGCCAACAGAGAGATTATGAGCAACACTAGAAGAAAAAGAGATCAGCTAGGTAGTAAGAAAAGCAGGACAGCTGAGCTAGAGAAGTGGGAAAAGAACACTAGGTTGAAGATGAAATGTTATTGCCCCCAAAAGAAGCATGAAGGCTTGTTTGCTATCTTTTCAAAGCTGGCTGAATACTGTCAAAGAGACAGATCTGAAGCCACTCTGACAATCCGGAGAAGGGAAGAGTCTGAGACAAAACTGAAGAAGTGGACTGAAGCTGTGAGAGTAATCATGGTGCACCAGGCTCTTGGAGACCGAGTGGATAGGGAGAAAAGTGTTCAATGAGGCCAAGAAACGTTTATTTAAGATGCAGGAAATACAAGTAGGCCTAAAAGGGAGAGTGTGAGAACCATGGGAAGAATGTGTACAGATGATAATTGAAGTAGTGAGTAGAAAGGCTGGTGAGAGGAAGGTGGGAATTGATGGGGTCAAGGATGTAGACAAAAGCATATGAGGCAGGCAAAAAAAGAGAGTGTCATGGAGAGGGAATCTCTTCACTCTTTCTCCTGTTCATGACATTGGAAAGACACAGCAGATTATAAATTCATGTCAAGGATATTGAGGCATTCAGTTATGCCCAGGGAAGCCTGATGAGTTCATGAAGTGGATAAAAAGGAGAAGAGGTTGAAAGACTGAGATCAAAACTGAATGTTTCCTACCACTCTGAGGGAAAGAAGGAGGATCAGGGAGGACTTAAAGAGCCAAGGTCCAGAGGATGTTGATCCCCATCATCCTGATGATACTCAGCTTTGACATTTTCTCACACTGTTGGTGGCTGGTTTATTTTCTGCAGCAATTTGTACTGGGCAGCTGGGCTTAGAATGACAATTTTCTTCCCAGTTGCACTGCTCCCATCCCTCCTGAGGTTGTCCATCTGGGAGGAGGGATGGGGAAGCTGAGAGTGGCATTTCAGGAAACCATCCCACTCTGGTAACAGAGCACTTACCCTCTCCTTACAGGGGTCACCACGGTACTTACAATGACTACCATCAACACCCATCTGCGGGAAACTCTCCCTAAGATTCCTTATGTCAAGGCTATTGATGTTTATCTCATGGGCTGCTTTGTCTTTGTGTTCCTGGCGCTCCTGGAGTATGCTTTTGTCAACTACATATTCTTCGGGCGAGGCCCCCGGCAGCAAAAGAAACAGAGTGAACGGATCAGCAAGGCCAACAATGAGCGCCACCGTTACGAGGAGAAGAGGGTGAGAGAGCAGGTTTGTTCCCTTCTTTCATTGTGGCAGGACAATTCAGACTCTCCACTGTTCATTCAGTCCTGAGTGAGCTGTGGAGCAGCCTTTCTTTTCATCATGAGAGTTGAATACCAGTTCCCCTGTCTGGTGATTACCGGGAATTTTTTCTCCTTGATCATTTTGTCATCATCCTAAAGCCAGTCTCATCAGGACCATCCTCTTGCACAGGTCAGGTATACCCAAAAGGATTCCTGTGGCTTTTGGTCCTACTGTGTTGGCAGAGTCACACTACCCCACTGATAAGTCTACTGTAAGCACATGTGGCTAGTCCTTCAACTCCCGCGTCAGTGGACAACATTTTCAAATGCAGAAGTCCAGGTTCAGAGCTCACAAATGACCCAATCAGTGGTATTGTTACACAGAAAACAGTTTAAAATCACCCTTGATGGTGTGGCCCTGTGTGCATTGTGCACATGACATCCCTGCTACCTTTCTCTTTGTCTTTCCTGTTCTAGGTTGACCCTTATGGTAACATCCTCCTCAGCACTCTGGAGATGAACAATGAGCTGCTGGCCACGGACATGATGAGCAGCGTTGGCGACTCTCGAAACTCTGTCATGTCCTTTGAAGGCTCAGGAATCCAGTTCCGCAAGCAGCTGGCCTCTAGGGATGGATTTGGTCACCACCCAACCCTGGACCGCCACATCCCGCTGACCCACCACGCTGCAGCCCGCAACCGTGCCAACTGCCGTCTCCGCCGGCGGTCATCTAAGCTGAAGCTCAAAATCCCAGACCTGACAGATGTCAGCACCATTGACAAGTGGTCACGAATCATTTTTCCAATCACCTTTGGATTCTTCAACCTTGTTTACTGGTTGTACTATGTAAATTGATGCCTGCAGCCTCCAAGAGAGATAGGGACAGACACTCAGACAATGACAACACAGGAGTGTTGTGGTCTTTTGGGTTTGGGTTTTACTCTTTACTATCATTATCATTTATTCCTTTGATTCATTAGATTTATTCTAAGCTTACTCTTCTCTTTTCAGCACATGTAGAACCACAGAGTGTAGGGGCAGGGTAAGGGAGAGAAGGGTATATGGGAGGGGGTTTAGTTTCAGGGAGGAATGTGTTTGTCTTGATTTTGGTTTCCTGCT